TGGTTAGGTAATACAAAGGTTAAATGAAGTGGATGTGCTTTTGTTTTAATAGCAAGCATGTATGGGGTAGAATGGACACAGCACACAAAAATGAAAAGGAAATGACAAGTGCAACCATGCACTGTGACCAGAAGCTTCATCCTTCTTTTTTGCAAAAGTTGGGAACAGACCATCAATCCTTCAGGCAACATGTATGGTAAAGTAATCAACCAGTGGCAAAGAAAAATCGTTGTCTGTGGCCAGCACACTTTCAACAAGGGTCAGTCTGACCTGTAAACAACTCAAACCCATTGATTTTTTCATTTTTTTTCCATGTGAACTCTACAGATATAGACTCCAGAAACTAGGCTCAGCGACAGTAGGAGAAGGTCTATTTTAGTTGAAGAGGATCTGTTTGAGCAAGCTGCTAAAAGTTAGGTAAGCTGCAACATTCCCACCCTTCTAGTTACTCTCTTTACAAAAGCCTGACAGCTTGTCCTTGTCAAATACCAAAGTGACAAATGGAAAGTGACGAATGGAGCATTACTGTTGCAAATGGAAGTTTCCTGGTTTGATGCCCAAACCCAGTGTTTCAATACATAGTACTATGTCCTAAAGATTATATGTCAGAAAACATTTTCACCACACTGCAGGTTTTTTTTTATTAGAATCTTATTTTCAAAGACGTACAGTATGTGCCAAAATATTCCACTCACCAATGTTTACCTCCCAACTGAAAATCAACAGGATCAATGTACATTCTGTTATCAAATACTTGACGGAGGTTAACTCATGTCAAGGGTCAATTTCTCAGAGGTCAAACGCTACTTCTACCTCTTAAGCCTCTCCTTGATCACAATGTAAACAGATAAGGTGGCAGCAGTAGCTGGAAATATTCTACTCTTCCTTTGAAACCCAGACAAGCGTCAGTTAATGGGCAAATAATCCCACTGACATAAAGAGGGTAATAAAAATGTAAAGTTTGTGAAAAGAAGACCTGAGGGCAAAGAATAGAAAGATGAAAAGTTAGAAAGTACACCTATAGATGCATCACATTTAAATCACTGCATTTCCAACAGGGTATTTCCTATCTTTTATATTGTACTACTTTTCTGATATTGTTTAGTTAAGAAATTATTTTGTTTACGTGTCTCTGAGAGTCCAACAGTGGCTGCTCAGATGAGGCCCAACATTTGACAAGTAACTGCTTCTTCACACGAGTCACAGAGATCCATCCTGCACAGATGCTGCTTTCCTCCTCACATCGTTTTTTGCTCTGTCACCCTTAGTCATATCAAGGTGTAAAAAAACCTGTGTGGACGAGTGGACAGGAGAAGAATATCTGAGATTCCCCTCACCTCTCCCTTTTAAATCTGCATCACTGACAGTAAAATGTGGCTCCTTCACAGACAGAGGGCCACAGAGGGGTCAGGCCTGTTCAGCTGCATGCTTGTTGATACAGTTACAACCTCTGTATCTCAGAAGGGAAGGAGAGAGAGGGGAGAGAGAGATGTAGTGAGAAAAATACAGGGTCTACCCTTAGACCACTGAGCATCTGAGTGTCTGCAGTGAAGCATATTTAATACAGTTATTATGAAAGCTAACATTGATATTAGACATATCCAGGAGTTTTATTATTCTTTAGTCTTCATGATCCTCCAACAACAAATCAACAAAAAGGACAATAATTTTGCTATAGCAGTGTTCTCTAATCTTTCTCGAGCTACGGCACGTATTTTACATTTTTAAAAACTCCACATCAGATGGGATGAGATAAATATTATGATCTTCTAATTTCAATCTTCTCATAATTTATCTACTTAGTCTGAGACTGGACCTATTTGGTTGAACAGACTGATATCAAACTCACAGGAATTGAAGAAAGAAACAATACTCTTCCCCAATGGTTTGTCTTCTTTATTGTTTTTAAAACCACCTGCTGCCCTCTTGTGGAAGAGGTATTTAATCGATCTGCCTCTCACTGTAACACAGACATAGATATATGTTTTGCAGTTAATATATAATTTTTCTTAGCTCATTTCAGTAACATGGGAATAACCACTATTTAGAACAGCAAAACCTAGCAACTGATTACATATAATTCTTAAAACTACTTCTGCAAGTGGCACAAGAATGTATCGTTTAACAATACTATGACTAAATGCTAGTTTATTAATGTTGCTTTGTTTTGTTTTTTTACTTTTCTCCTTTTTCTTCAGTCAAATGGAAGTCGAGTGAAGTGAATTGCTTGGCTAATTGGGTTAAAAGAGATGTGTGGGGTTGAATATCAGTCAGTCAGATTGTGAAACCAGGTACTCAGCAAAACAGACAGACGCGTCTTCCCTCCGACAGTCCTTGTAAATTACATTCTAATAACCTATCTCAGACTCATTACTCAAACTCAAATTGAAGCATTTTAGCTCAAATGTGAAATCAGCTCACAGCACTTATGAACAGAAAAAAACACTTCATAAAAGAAAAAAAAAGAAAAATCATTACTTTCACTGGCAGGACTGCTGCTCATAACTGTCATGGGGGAGGTTCGGGGAGGAAAGATAGAACGGGGAGGAGGGGAGGGAAAAAAACAGGTGTGCTTATTTGAAGCGGCTGCTAATGTAAGTCCACCATCTAGTGGCAAGAGGTGGTATTAAATATAAAGACAATTTATGGTTGTGGATAAAGTTTGACATTTGAGAGACCCTTCAAAACGAGGAAAAAACATAAAGCCTGATGAAATCTGAAAAAAGTCCTGCCCTCAGGTTAGGAATTTAAGTGACACAGGATTATTATTATTAAATGGGCTTTTTCATTTTTGAAGTTAAAATATTCAAGGCCACATATACAAAAAATCCAGTCACATCCATATTAATGCTTGAGATCTATTTAGTTTGAACAGCATCTGCATTTTGAAATGTGGAAGTGTATAGAGAAAACTGATGCAACAGGGAAGAACATGCAAACACAATACACAAAGACTGGGAATTGAACCAGCAAACTGTTGTATAGCAAATATGCTAACCATTTGATATGTGATGATATAGTTCCATGTTGTTCATCATTTCATTCATTTAGCATGTTCATTGAAAAAAAAAAATTCAAATATGACATAAATCCAGCACTAACCATTCTACACAGAATAACTTGTGCGTTATCTTTAGAAACACCACGTCCTTTCAGAACGACCTGGGCACAGTCTCGCTGACTCAGTGATTACATATGCTCTTTCTTTTGCCTGCAGAATGAAGTCATTTTTCACTGCACTTGATTCACAACAATCTGAATCTCACTGATTTCATGCTCTACTCAGCTGGAACCTATAAGGCGCTGAGTTGGCAGACAACATGACAGAGTAAGAGATTAATGCGGTGCAAAAGCAAAAATGAGTCAATAGACCAGAGAGAGATTTTAAATAAAAGTTGTGGGGCTTTTAAGAGTGTGGTCTTTTAAAACGGTGGAGCACTTAACAATTACTTTTGAAATCAATAGAGCCATCAATTATTTTATTCCCAAAGTAAAAGATTCGTTATTTGGTCCAATGGTGCAGAAAACTATAAAGTGTTGAATTTTTTTTGAAGCCATATATATTTATTTAGCAGTCATAAGAGAGTAATAATACATAGAATATAATCATATGCAAAGGAGTTTCCTTCGTCATAAATGTTGAACAGGTTAATTCTACTAATCAGTGTCCAAGCGATTATAATTAAGCCAAGAATCACAATGTTATTTATATACGTACTAGCTGCACTTCAGCCTTCTTGCTGTAGAAGGGTTTTACATCAGCAGCAGCATCTGCAATCATTTTTTCCATTCATCATTTTTTATGCTTTAGTAGTTTGTTAAATTTCTGATTTACCTCACTTTGTTTTTACATTCAAAATTCATCTTTAACCTCTGATATATGTGACCTAGTATGTCATGCACATCCTGCCTGCGACAAACCTGAAGTAACAAAATATCCAACACGAATGACTTTTGAAGGCTGCCCTACAAAGACAGAAGGGTGTAAAGGGGGGGGGGCACGATTCCACAAAACTAAAGTTATGTCAACACTGATGCTCTGTCTAACAAGAAAGGCAAACAGTCGGTGCAGGAGAGATGGGAAAAAAAAAAGAAAAGAAAAAAAGAGTTATCTTCCCGACACATCACCGCAGAGCATCGTTCGACATTTGTGTACCCCAAATCTCTGCCACTGCCGCCGTATTTGGCCTAACAGTGTTAGTATGCATACAGGCCTTGCACCAGCCTCCAAATGTATTCATTTATTCAGAGCCCCTCAGAGAAATCAGTGTCTTGTTGTCCTTTTTTTCCTCCATTTCTGTCCAGATGGAATTTGCGTGAATAACATTGGTTTAGTGAGGCAGAAAATAAGTACAGGCTAGCACAGAAGAGAGGGACTAGATAACAATCCCCCATCAAAAAATTGGGAAACAAGTGTCACCTTCAAATACTCCTTACTCCTTTTTTAGTTCTTAGCAGAAGCTCAGGTCTTTATCTTCTTCAGTCAAACTGAATCCATGAATTTACATGCATGCAGTGGGATTTTCATTGCATGAAAGTGAGATGCTATCAAGAGAGCGCAGAACAATTCTCATTTATCACTCATTTATTTTTTATGTTTATAACGTGACTAATTGCATTAATAAATTAGAAGTTCGTACAATAAGAGAGTGATAGCTTAAACATTAAATTAAAGGTGATTGAAAAACTGTAAATCAATATTTCAATAAAGGCCCTGGAGAAATTAAAATGCCTCATTCAGGAGAGTAGAAAGGCTGGTTATTATCATGCATCTATCAAAAAGAATTTACTTCAAGGAGTCAAGCAATTGTCTTAACAATTGACTATAGAAATTAACTGAAAAAGAATGTGTTGTGTAAGGTTCAGAGATGCCACCACTGAAGAAAATGGGAGCTGTTTCTCTTGAATTGGTGCCAGTGTTTGTGACCGAGCTCACAACAAAACGGAACACAGAAGCGAGGGAGAGAAAAGGGTAAATAAAGAATGTGAAACGTTCCTACCTCTCTGAGAACTGTGCTCCCAAATCCTCGATACAGGCCTCGAACACCCTGTGCAAAAACAACCAGAATGGTTTATGACACTTCAGTGATGACTGATCAAAACAAGTCATTATTTACGGCTGATTGTGATTTGTTATTGTGATAATTTTTGACTTTAATTAATATGGTCAGATTTCAAACAAAGCAAAATTGTCTTAGACACACAAGCAAAAGTCATTCAGTTTTAAAAACAAACAAAACAAAAACAACAATTAGGACGATAACAGTTTTGTTTTTTATTTAACTGCAGCACCCGTACCTCCTCTTGTAGTGTGGCCAGGAGATTGTGGTAGCTGGTTGATGATGGCAAAGCCTGGGTTCTCTGCTTGATCACTTCTGTGGGCACTCTGATAAGACAAGCTACCTATGAGATGGAAAGAGTTGAAGTTAAAGATAATGTGATGTGAGATCTCTCTCGTCATGTTAATTTGTTTTGTCACATGACTTTATCTCTGATTAATGTAGGTTACCATATACTGTATATATATATATATTTATCATGTCAAATATGTCAATATACAGTCGCTTAAGTCGATGGGCAAAAAAAGGCAATCAACAAACCTGTTTATAATGTGCAGGTAAGAACTGAGCAAAAATGGTTGAAAATGTTGCCAAACTGACTATGTGCTATTCTAAACACATGTATTTCTATCACATACACCAATGAATATTTGTGTAGGTACCACCATTCAGCACTTCATGGTGCGAACAGCCCTCTGTGCGTCAACAAAAATATGGGCTGCCAACAGCTAGTAAAGACAGACATGAATATTAATGCCCTCCAAGGGCGTGCCGGCACAGCTGCCCACCTGGAGACTAGGTCTACCATTTATTCTGCACTGGAGTGAAAACACAGGCTGCCAGTGAGCAATCTAGAGGAACGATTGGTAGCCAACCCCCTGCCACGACTCCCTTCGCTCATACAGATGCCAGTCTGATGATGCCACCTTCTGCACCCCAACAGGAGGCAGTGTAATAAAGACAAAATGCACCCATATTCTTTCTTTGCTTGGCTAAATTTCTATTCAACAATCTACAGTCATTTAGCATTTGTCCTGCACAAGTTTCAAAGGGAAACGCTCAGAGACAGAGATGATGAGCAGCAGCTGGAGCCAAGGCTAGCAAGTCCTTCCATTTTATATTCCACTGACAACACCATAATGTGGCCAATACCTGTTGTAGGTATAAAGACAAGAGCTACTGTGAATGATTGATTTCAACATGAAGAACTATTGAAATTGTTCGTGCAATATTGTTTTGATAAAAAAAATGTGTGATCCATGACAGCATAAGTTGGTTTGGCATCTGTGTGTGCAGGCAGTTTAAAAGACAATTAAAAACTAGATCTATATTATTATTGTAAGTTGGTTTGGCATCTGTGTGTGCAGGCAGTTTAAAAGACAATTAAAAACTAGATCTATATTATTATAGCAAATGAAAGCTAACATTACCAGCGTACGTGAATCTGTGTCCAATGAAATTATTTTTTTCTCATTTTCCAAGGTTCATTCTTTGACAGTGATGACACTCTTCACTGGTCATTTCTGATGTCATGACACCTATAATTATAAGACATGTACAGATCTAACAATACAAAATTATAAACCATACCTTGGCTCAAAGTGTTCAAGTTGAGTGTGGAGGCCCTCATTTTTAACCTCTTACATAGAAATGGTGAGGATTTCTAAAACATCTGATTATTGACTATACGTTGGACTATTTCATACTTTATCTCTGCTTTAGTTTTTCAGCAGGCGAACTATGCAAGTTAATAAAGTTCATCGGTTGTAAATGTGAGGAAATTAAGAACAAGACACAGAGGACTGAAGAAGTGCCTTCCCACAGTCCCATCGACGTGTTTGGTGAGCGCGAGGATCCTCGCCTAAATGTGGTACAACAGTACCACCAAGTGGCGGCTTATTCTACTGCATGACCTCTGTTAAATGATAACTGAGCTGGCTGAATCCATTTCAGAGATCTCATTTGACTTCCCTTTGGTCAAGTTATATTTTCCAATACGCTGTTCATCATGTTTTCCACGAACCAATTCTCCAAAGGACTAGACCAAGGCAGCTAAACAGAAAGAAAGTGGCTATGACAAGTAATTACAAACATAATTGAATGGTGGGCATGGAGCGGAGACAGCTTTTCCTCCCCTGTCACGGCAGAGGGGAAGGCAGAATGAGGTTCAGATTATACCAAATAAATTAGGGACATTGTTTATTTGGGAGTAATTTGCACTCCGAGGGGTGGATGGAAGTGAGCGAAAGATAAAATGTGAAGCTTCTGAAGCAATTTCACATAAGATGCTCGCAGAGATGAAGCAGGTTACAAGAGTACCTGAGACAAATACCCTGGACAGATAATGAGAGGTCGTATGAAATCCTGTCAGAGGATTAAAAGTGTTGGTCTTGATACTCCTCGTATAAGAGGAGGACTTTGTTTGCTCTTTGCAACCAAAAGTTTCCTCTGGTTACCATTGTTTGGGCCAAACGCTGTTTTTTTCCCTCTTCACCAAAATTCATCTTCATTTACAAGCTGCTAAATTTATCAAGGAGCATTAGGTAGTTGGCTACTCCATGTGACTGGAGACTTTCACTTTTCTTTGGCCAGCAGTACTTATTCCAAATGACTGAGCAGGTTTTCAATTTCCAGCACCAACTGCCTCACAAGTTAATATGTGGATGCTCAATCAGTACATTATCTGCAGGCCAAGCAAATCAACATAAGGATGGAGTCATCGCAGCCAATTCCATGGCTCCCCCTGTAGACTATCCTAATGCATACACATGGCCAGTTAAACATATGTAATGTAACATATGTTGACACTTTGCACAAAGTATAAGATATGAATATAAAATTTGTCTCATCAATCAAAGAAAAAAATTGAGCCAGCCTTTCTACTCTCCTGAATGATGACCACAGCGAGCCCTATGTTGAAGACCTTTGCTTTAATGAAATGACTACTGACCTCTGACCTGTTTTTTCTAATCAAACCTAAAGTCCCTATGACTTGAAGTAAGCCTAGTACACGTCAGGTAACTAGGTTACTGGTAAAAGGTTACACAGTACAGTCTTAATAGGCAACGAGTTTCCTGGCTCCATTGCTGCAGTTTCAGGACTAAAATATCAGATGACAAGGGAAGGAGGGAGAAAGAGAGAGAAAATGTCACGAAGAAAAGGGAGAGGAGATAAGGACACCGCTGTGTTACTCTAACTTTGAAACAACAGCCAATAAATCACAGAGCCCGGCGCTGCTTAAAGGCAATGCATGGATTATTTCTCCCAGCCAAGTTAAGTAGCTGCCAGTTTCAAACCCCAACTCTCACACGAGGAGCTCCTGCCCTCATGCTACCTCCTTTTCACATCCCCCATATCTTGTCATGTCACAGAGCATTTTTCAGTACATCCTCGCAACAAAGTGCGGCGGTGAGGGAGGCGGTGTGCGAGGGGAGAAGCCTACCGCCTGGCCTTGACAAATGAGCTTTCAGGGCAGACGTCGAGCGAATGGGAATGAAGATAAATCTGATTTAATGGCTGGATAACAGCCTGCTAGAGCCTGACAGACATCATCAGTGTACACATTCTTTATGGGAGCATCTCAACACTGCAGGTGCAGAAATACGGGGACACTTTAAGCCAATTACTCTCAGTGTCTGGACCCTCCTGTAATATCACCCTACAGCTTCTCTCTTCCTCTCATCTTCTGTGGATACATTTAGAATATTATAATTAGCAAAGAGCAACCTCAAAGTCAGTGTTTCTCAAAATGCAGGGCATGACCCCACGGAGGGACTGAGTTAATGACAGACAGACAGACAGACAGACAGACAGATAGACAGACAGACCTTTGTTAATCCCTGTGGAGTTTTCTTCAAGTTATTAAGAACATGCAGCATTACTACCGAGTTAAGATCATCGTCAATGGAAACAGGCTTCTGGATGGACTACCAGAAGTAATTCGCCTCACAAAACTCCTGGTGTGGCCATGTGAAAGAGTGGAAACAGTTGACAAACTGAAGGGAACTCCTAAGAAAAGGACCATAGGTTATAAAAGTGGCGTCTGTAGAAGTCAGACCACAACCAAATATGAATTTTTAAAAAGATGTTATTGCTTCTTCTTATGTTGTTTAGATCCTGCATGTCAAAACCTGCCACCACCCAGCTGCTCGCAGCAAGAATGAGACAAGATGTAGAAAGATGCAGAAAAAAAAACACTGTGTGAAAACAAGAAGTCCTGTCCTCAGCTGGCAGAACAGATTAAATGCAAAGCAACACAATGCTAATGAAAATCTGTTGCGGTTTTCAGTTATCGCTGCTGTCAGTGTGATTTGTGCTGAATTATTCAGATTGTGCTAACATGATTATTTTCTGTATTAACATACCATGTTTATAAAGTAAAATTAAGGTTATCCACAGGCTCAAACTTTGAAAACCTCTCATGTCGGAGCTACATACTGAGCTGAACAAGTACAAGAGATGGACTGGGACAAATAAAAGTACAGTCTAAAATTAGTTTTAGCAGAAAGGAATATAAATTCATGTTGAATCGTGCCATGGTGGATGGAGTGGTGTTGGTGATAATGAAAGAGCATGTGATCTGGGTGGAGCAGGGACAAGTGTCAATCTTGGATCAGAAAGCTTTTTGATGCAGGCTGCTCTGCTTAGCAACCAAGAATGCACTCTGCTGGAGTTAAAACATCACCTGTTGAACCTGTTGTACTGAAGAGACGTATTTGTCTTTAAATTCACTATAATGATGAACATAGGAGATGTTATCTTTTGAATCACTTTGGTCCTCTTGTACTTGGTTAAAATATTGTGTTTTATTTGAAAAGCTTAGTAGTGGATGAAAAATAAGAAGGTATCTTCAAACATGGCACTAAACTCAAATATTGGTAACAATATCTAGAGTAGAGGATATGGAGCAGAGGTAGTGAAGGTGGATGAGTTTAACTCCTTAATCATCCCCAGTAAACTCCAAGTCACTCCAAACTTGTTTTAAGATACTTGTGTTGACAATGTTACGCTTCCATCGTTATATCTGATGCTGTAGATGATCAGTGCAATCTTTTTTTTTTTTTAGAATTCATCAGGAAGGAATGAAGAGATAAAAAGTCATGGCAGAAGTTGCATCATAGCACAGCCTCTGTATGTGTCTCAGGGCAGCACTACGTTAGGCCTTTCATGGATAAGCCTGATGATTACTCGCTTTGAACAAGCTGCGGGAGCGCAAAAACAATCCTCTGCAGCTTTGCTCAGCTCCTTTCAGAGGATTCTGGGCATTTGATGTGATTAAACTCAGAACTGCAGGAACCGGGTTAAAGGTAACTGCAACCTCTGCTTCACCCTTTACACTCCTACACTCGGATCATGGAACAGACCAAAAAAAAACACTTTTAGCTAAACTAGTGTTATAGGAATAAGTCTGATGTTAGTTGTGAAAGTAAAAGAATATACTTCAGGTGCAGCATTTGTTTAATTTGCACTAATCTAAGATTAAACAATGTCTTCTTCCAGCACGATGTCGTGCCAGAACTGAAAGCAAGTGAAAACTTTCCTGTGTGGAATAATCCCATTTCGTAAACATGAAAACCTTAATAAATGACATCCATCCAAAAACCATGAATACTGAAACCCCACTGTTGTGCCGTTTTAGCAGGGGGCATCCGTTTCATGTCATATCCCGTCCTTCTTTATGCCAGTCAACTAACCATGCTTCCCAAATGGCTCAGATCCTGGGGTTCACTCTGAATGATGGGAAGGAAATGGTTCCGGTCCCTTTTTCAACTAGAGAACAAATTCAGAATTGGCAAAAGTCCACCAGCCTGAGATGGGAACCTAGATAAGTCAGTGTGCAGTAATGAGATAATATTTTTCCAGCTGGTGGGTGTGGGACACTCATTTTATCTCAAGGAAGTGCCCACCAAAACTCACCCAGCTGGACCCTGAGACCTAGAGCCAAAAATGCAGACCCGCCCACTCTTTTTCCAAATGCCCTCTCACACAGCAGCGTGTGAAATCTGTAGAACAAGAACGTCAGCACAACGTGGTTCCCTACTGGGAAATACTGTCCTGACAAAAACAAGGGCATGTCCAGACCAAACCAGAGAAAGATCTGGATTTAGATCTATTCAATCAATAAGAATCCATTACGAAATACATCAGCAAAGCTGGTTGTCGAATGCTCGTTAGACCAACTCTAACGTGCCCTAGATAACCGACAGATCATTTCTTGGCCAGGTATTGTAACAAATTCACACACAAATAAAAAAATATCTTTGACAAGCATGATTGTTTCAAAGTGACCTTGAAGACATAATTTCTCAGAAATGCTCTGTTAACATCTTCATTTAAAATACAACAGCATTGTACTTGAAGTAACTTTAAAAACTTTGTGCATTTTGTGTTATTAAAAATGTGCAAATGTATAATTAATAGTAGAATTAAACCATCACCAAATTCACAGAAAGTGTTTTTTGACCTTTTTGTTTTTCTTGCATAAATAAAACCTGGAGTTTGTGCTAATGTGTTGTGTTATAATAGATTTAATTAGTGAATTCATTAATGAGGTCCATGACACATATTTATAATTTTTTTAATACATGTAGACTGAAATCTTCTGAGGCTCATTTTTAAACAGGGGGCGTTTTCTGTACAATAGCAAAATGAAGCAACATTACAAAAATCACACCTTCAGAAAATATTAAACTTACAGTTTCTCCGAGGGAGGCGGCGATCATGTGAGTGACAGGTGCCATGTGTGGTGCTGCTAGTGGTCCCCTTGAGCCAAGCAAGGACTTGGTGAAGTCGTAGGTGCCAAAGAAAAGAGCAGCTGAAACCAAGCAGAACTGCAGTCATTTGAGGCTCATAGTCAACCAGCATATGTCATTTAATATCCCTCACTATAACTGACAAGAGTGACACTACTCTGTGTGACTGTGTGCATGTGTAGACATGGTCATATAAGAAAAGTTTAGTCTGTACAGAGCCAACTTCAGTGAACTGAAAATATTACAAAATATTTTATCAGTGTCTTTTTGACACCCCAGTAGGGGTTAGAGCTTTGTTAGAAAGAGGAACATAATATTCCACAGACCCCTGCAGGTTTGATTACCTGCTGGTAATTGTCGCAACTTCTGAGCTTTTACTACACTGAGGATCCTAAAAATATTTTTTATCTTTTTCTTGTCTGAAAGGTCTACAGATGTCCAATGCAGGGACTACAACAAAGACATATTACACCACCAATCCACCTAATAGTTAGAGACTCTTACCATTGGGAATTGAACCAACAGCAGCAGCTGGGACCCCAGCGTAGACACCCCTGAAGCCTCCTGCCTTGAAAAAACCTTGTTGACTCTGTAGTCTGGTCTTAATGGTGTCCAGGGGGAAGAGGGTCAGATCCACAAACATACCTGCACAGCCTCCCGCCTGTGGAGAGTTTGGTCGGTTCGTAAGACATAGAGATGTGGCACACATACGTATATAAAAACACACAAAACAATGTCAGGCTGTTGCCATCTGTTCCAATTATTTATTTCTAATTAAATCATTGTCAGCCTAAACTGTTAAAGAACTAATGGTTTTAAATTTAATTGAAAGTTACACCTTAACCTAAATACTTGAAGTAAGTATTATGGTCTATAGAGCACAAAGCCTAAAATGTGTGCAAATGTAGTGGTCAAAATAATTACTTAATCAGCACACAGTAGCTGAGCTACTACAGTAGTAGTAGTAGTAGTAGATAACAGGTTGTATCTCTCACCTAATAGGAAAGTAAACATCTGTGTCTGTTTTAGCCGTAATTTGTATTTTGACAGCACGTGTGGTACTTTTTCTAAATAGACAATACAAAACCTATTTACATTGATGTTCGCATATTTGACTGAGTTTTAATTAGGATTTAAGCAGTATTTTTTTTTTAATATAAATTTTTAAAAAAGTCAGGTGCCCGTGTGCTGGTGCTGAACATCACCCCGTGTCATTAAAAAAACACATTTTTGCTCGGTAAGGTTTAATAAGACATCCACTCAGAGTTCAAGTAGTGTGAATTGGCTTTACTAGTACGATAACTGCAGTGTTTTCCACAGTGTGTTTCCAGTTTGTAAATTACGTGTCGGCACGGTCAGCTACTGAATTAGTGAAATAAAATAATTCAACTTACAAACAGAGAGGCAGCCAACTCCCTCCTCTCCATCTTCAGCTGCTGCTTTCTCCCCTTTAGTTCACAAATGCATGCGACGTTCCCTCAGCTTAAAGAGAAAAAATGACACTAAGGGCGCAGCCATCTTGACTTACGTACTTCCGTTTAAAGTCGTGACGTAGACGTTACGTCGTCGAGGTCATAAACTGCAAAGAGGTTGCTACCGCGTTTTTTACATACGTTCATGGTGAATTATTAATATTTTTTATTATTATATTAAATATTATATTATTATTCTAATAATTATCATTATTATTGTTGTTGTTATTGTTATTATTATTATTAAAACCTAATAATTGTTCATATAATTAATGTTGTTTCTGTTTTAATCTTATGGAATCATTGTATTAATGTTTTCATATTTTATATTATTCATTGATTTCTCATACCCCGTCAATTCAAACAATAAAGTGTCTATTTATGCATGCCTATACTCTCTTATGATGCTAGTAAGTGAGTGAGCTCAAGTCCAAATCCAATAATGTTTGGGTGGAGTGAGCCCAGTTTGACTCTCACTGCTCCTCATCCATCTTCTTGAAGCAGGTCTCACAGGGATCCCACACATGAGCCACGGCCCTGGCTGGATATGGATCAGGCTAATGTTTCTGTATGAAAACAGGTACTACAGTATTATTTATTGTCATTATTCTGTGACATTTTCTATTTTTTTTCTTCAAAATATCATGGTAGCATTGACTGAATAAATATGTGATGATTTCCTAAAGCTTTCCTAACCAAGTTGCTGTTATATTTTACTTTGCACAACAAATGCAGCTGTTATTTATTGTACCACTGGCGTTGTTAGTGATCTTTCATTAGACTTTATTTCTAAGACCTACATTGTCCTCCTACTCAGTCAATAAATCACATTAATTCTGTGCCATACCTGAAATTGATTTTTTTTCCTCTTTCCCCTCGGTGCTGGTGTTGACAAGTTTGTACTGTCCAGGGGCTTGATTGTTCTGCCATGCACGGCTATTCATCAATCTGTCAACATATGTCATTAGTTGTAGAGATTTTTGTCACTTTCTTTTCTCCAGATGTTGTATCTTTGTTAGTCTCAGTGGACTGCCCATAAGAACACTGAGGTGCCTTTAAAATGCAAAGACTGTTCTCGATGAGGTCACAAGTTCACTGGTGAAAGGCAGCACTGATATAAAGGCCACTGTCTGTCTGTCTATCTATCTATCTATCTATCTATCTATCTATCTACCTATCTATCTAATGTTTGCCTTATTTTAGCTAAAATAGCTTTTAGCTTAAATAACTTATTTAACTGGATGGTGCACAATTAATGTAATATATATTTTACAGAGGTTTCTATTATGTTGTTTTTAAATACATGCAAAACAAACTGATGTTTATTTCCATTTCACATCAAATAAAATGAATTCTCACTATCTCTGTCTAAAACTTTTTTTTTTTTATGAACAGCCCCAGAGTAGCAGAGGAGTTTATACACAGGAAAAGAAAAAGAAAACTCCATCTGGATGAGAGTAAATTGTGCTCATATTTACCCCTGTGTAAGGTCATTGAGAAGCACCCAGAGCAGATTTGTCGGAAGCACCATTGATCTTGACCTGCTTCACTGCAAGTATGATCTCAGAGATAAAAGCGAGCAGACAAGCCACAAGTCAGCGAAGGGCAATTCTAGCCTGCAGGCTGTCTTTGAAAAGGGAAGAGCAAAAGCACGAAGGATTAGGCAACAAAGAGGGGGAAGCTGGGAAGGTAAGCAGCTATAGGAGGGGTATTGTTAAAACAGAATTAACATCCAGTGGTTTCTATCTCTCTGTGTGTATTTGTGTGTGTGTGAGTGTGTGTGTGGGTGAACTCGGAGTCAAACATCATCTGAGATCATCTAAAGGGCCGCAAAGAGTTCATCCTAAAGTTTTAGGCACACGTTGGACTGTTTTATTGATTTTGCAGGGGCTATGAGTACTGACTAAGTTCAAGCAGCTTGTCCCACATTTGGGACACTTCCTAAATAATATCCTTTGTCAGGACATCAGGACTTGATTTCAGAGTTTGCAAATTTTAGTGTTCAAATCCAAAGACAATACCTTCTCTGCTCCCCTGCCCCCCAAACAACACACACATAAGACAAATTTAATTTTATATGTAACACATTTAATAACAATCAATACAAATTCAAAAAAGCAGCAAAAAGAAAAAATAACATTGAATAAATGCAATACATTTCAAAAGAGATACTAACTTATAATGGAAAATCCCTGCAGTTAAAAAATGGTGGACCTAAATTGTGGGGCTCGAAAACAAAGTATAAACTCTGAATCTCTTGAATCAGCTGCATTTATTATCCTTTTGAAAACCGAAAAAAAAGTCAAATCTTTCAAAGTCAGAAACTTTCCGACCGTACCATAATTTACTTTCATTTCTGATTCTTTAGCAGTTTTTTCTTTTTTGTTTATGATATTTTCTCCTTGAGAAAAACTTTGTTGCTGCTGTTATACTGTTATAGATCAAGATCCTGATGGGTTTTTTTTTTCTTGAATGTAATTTAAGAAAGCACCATCTGTAATGGTCATCATGTGTGAACCTAGTGAAACACACACACAGTCGACTGTCAGGGAGATAATATTCATGAGAGAGCGTTGATCCTGTAGCAGCAGCAACAGCCTGGTGAAGTTCAGCTGAAGGAATACTACCCCTGCTCATTAGCCGCTCTTACATTTGCATCATTAGGACACAGTGACAGCAGGGCCGGGAGGAAACACAACCAAATGACTTTCATATATGCTTTGTTTGTTTTTTTAACTCTCGGGATGAGAGGTTCCATGAGTCGGAGACAGCGAGCAGTGGTACATAGGTGGTGAGGGCAAACAGAGGTGAATCGAGTCTACAAAAAAAAAAAAGGTTGCCATTGGGGCCTTAGGGCTCATTTGTAGTGATGCAAGGAACGCCACAAAATGCCATAAGTCGAGGACGTCACAAACTGATCCCATGTTTATACACACATAAAAAAATATAAATGGCCCTGTGATAGTACTGGCAACCTTTCCAGGGTAGAACTGCCCACAACCAATGGCTGCTACTATTAGCTTCAACTCACCCAGTGTTGCTAAAGAATATCATTGTTTAGAAAAGGAAAACAACTGGAAGTGTGAAAGGCCATATGTCTGTGTGCACGCATGGTATGGAAAACTGTAGAATTCAGTAATGGAAACAAAAAGTTAAATAAACAGACTCTTGTCATCCACGTATCGTTCACAGTACAGTAATAGACTCTATGCTATGCCAACGAACCCTCACCTTTCTTGCCCTCCTTCACCTTTGCTTACACAGCCATCACCTGTACCTGTTATGTGTTATCAGATTCTGGACTCAGTCCTGGCAGTTTCTGCCATACCCATGTCATCACCTCCATCTTCCACTTCCCCTTCTTTCGTCCCTGCTGGGGCCAAGAGTGAAATATGAGCTGCCTGTAGCACATTGATTTCATCATGTAAAAAAAAACAATAGATGGATGGATCTGAAGCGACGAGGCTGATGCCTCTCCTCTGGGGAACTTTGCTGTTAGATTGTCTCGTAGATCGTATCGACTGCAGTCATCAATGTCATCACTCTGCTCCATGAACAATTCTGTCCTGTGTTCATCTCAGGACAGGAAGTGGAGAAGGGGAAGCGTGTCATGCAAGCTTATGTGCCGACTTCTCAGGAATTATAAGGATAATGTGTGTAATCTGCGTCCTGCTGCCCCACAGGGGCAGTCCTCACAAGACTTGAATGAATCTGGTCTAACCCTGCCTGCCACGGAGCAGCTTGTTATGGATGGGTTATGAAAAAAAAAAACAAGTCAAAGGAAAAGTATTGTTGAATAAAATTAAAAAAAAACTAGTCAAGGGTTATTTTGCTTCATCTTTTTGACATAGTTGTAAACACTGGTATTTAAGTAAAAGCAGTTGGAAAGTTTGTAAACTTCTCACTATCTTTAAATCCCATGGGAGAAAATCTTTAATTTTAAACTATTAAATTAAATTTTCATCTGTACAAACCACTGTATGAATTGCTGCCACGTCGTGACTGGAGGCCTGTTATCCTTAAAGCATTACAGTAGTCGTACATTTATGTCCAGCATGCCATTATTCCATTGGAAGCCCTTCAAGCCCCCCCGGCACGTCACCCAAGTGCCCCCAAGTGGGACCTGCCCCACTATTTGTAAAGTACTGCTGTAATGCAATTGTTAACAAAGCTTGAGATTTTAATACATTTACTTTCTGAGTGTTTCCATGAAGACCCACGTCAGGATCATAAGTCATGACTAAAACTGAAATGTGAGGATATCTCTGACAAAAACAAGCTGACAGGTCAACACTCATGAAGTGCTGACTCTGTGTATGATGCAAAAACCGAATGCACGGTCGCTCACCCCATAAAAAAGCAGCTTTCACACACAAAAAAAACGAACAGCAACTTTCACGCAACATGATCTCAGAGAACATCTTTGTATCTATTCATCACCACCAGAGTTTCTGTTTTGCTCCTGCCTTCCCTTGCTATTAAGTGACTGGCCTTTTGCTGCTTTGGTTCGCAGTCACAGACGACACTTGCATTTGTCACAGCGCTAAGTGCTGAGGAAGAGAAGGTGAGAGCGCCCAGACAGCAATATTTCACACAAAGAGCTGTGAAAGGGAATCGTCACAGCTTTGTTTCATGGCTTCCCCGTGCTCTATGATAAATCGCTGCACTAAAACCTGCTCCTGTATGATTGGCCGTATATTGCTGTGTTTTGCATTTTCTTTTAGAATCAGATTTTATTTTTGTTTCTTTTTTCTTTTTGTAGTTCAGGACAGGTCACGGCACACCTGTGGTGCGCCATATGATTTCTTATTACTGCAGAAATACCCAGAATTCACAGCTGTCAGCTGGATGTGAGACCTCTCAGCTACATGTATAACACAGGACACGAAGCAAGAAGATTTCAATCACATCAGTGTTGTTGTTCCCTTCAGGCAGCTGCATGGATGAATCAATGAGACTGGTCTCCTGTCAGCAGCCCAGAATGAGGAGTTCTGGAGAGAGTGGCTCTGGTGGAACAGAACCATTCAGATTAATCCACGTGAAATGGCACAG